TCCAGAAAACAACGGGGGGGGGGGGGGGGGGGGGCGGTTATTTTTATTTTTGCCAGCCCTTAGGGGTTGGGCCATGGCCCAGGGGTCCCCGAGAGAACGGGGCATTGTTTCCACGGGGCTTTTCCCCCAGGCCCAATGGTCCCTCCCAATTGGGCCAAAGGGGGCTGGGGGGGGGGGGGGGGGGTGTACTCATAGTCGTGCATGCCGTAGTCATTAGACCATTGACCTCGCATCCCTACAAAGCCGGGACGGAGCACGCCGGGTTCTCACCGGACCAGGCTCTCACATCACCAAGCGCGAAGCGCCGGGAGGTATTCGGCGAGTCGCATGAAGGGTGAGCTGCATCCTGCTAAGGGTGTTCGGCATCTTGTGCTTACTTCCTTGCGTACGGATGACAGCTACGTATGACTTAATTTATTTTCTGGTGCTTTCACTTCCAGAGACAGTTGTAAGCACTGTGTAACTGCCTCGAGGGTGCTTGACCATTTTAACACAACGTGGTGCGATCATCCCCCGTTGCGCGGAGTGAGGGTTCTCCACCCCGCACAACATGATCTACTCGACCACCATTATGGTTACTGCCAAAAAAAAAACGAGGTAAAAAAAAAAACGGTAACCTGGTTGCCGAGTTCACGAAGTGAATTGGCTTGTTTTACAACGTCGTTGCCAAGCGACGAAAACCCAATCCCGACGGCAAACACCGAGCGGGGGGCTTGTTTTACAACGTCGTTGCCAAGCGACGAAAACCCAACCTCGATGGTAAACACCGGGGGGTGGGCTCGGGGGGGGGATGAAAACTGAATGAGCGGGTCATGAATTGTAGCATATCAGAAAACACGAAAGAAGGTCGGTCTGAGTGTACAGCGTACCCTCAAATTTGAACAAGTGGCGATGTACTGCTGAAGACGAAACCAATCCGCGAGAGACTTTCAAGTTGGAACATGAATGAGCCCGCCGTCGCCAAAAGGCGATATGCCAATGCGAGTCAAAACAAAATAACGCGCCATGTTTGCCGTTCGACCAGCGACAATTTTTCGCAGTCAGTCCGGCGACGTCGAGCAATCGGTCCGGAAAAAAAGATGGGGCTGTTGAAGAGCAATACACATCGAGCAATATTGCAAAGCACGATACGGCTCTGAGCACCGTTTCCCTGACAATACGTTTACAATGTCTCCCGAAAACGCACGAAACATTGTTGCCGTTCGGCGATCAACGGGAACAGAGCATGCATTCTCTCAAGATCGTCGAAGCAGGCGGCAGGGGGCGACTGACTCCAAAGGGTCAAAAAGCGCGAAAAAGAGTCGGGGGTTCTCTGTTTACGTAGGGTCCTAATGTGAAATGGTTATCGCGCATTTGTTGGAAAGGAGGTTGGCAGCCTGTCGCATTAGTGATATTTGGAGAGAATGTCTAGAAGAGCTACGCATTCGTGATATTTGGAGAGATTTTGTTGCAGAGCTATGCATACTTCATTGGAATAGCGGACGAAGATGAGGCTACCACGCATATTCTCTCTACTGTTACCACTCCATGCTTACGACGGTCTCTATCAGATCTGATTCTCCTATCCTGAATCACTTTCCCTCTCTCGACGATGACGTTCATTGTTTCTCGTATACAGCTAATGTAATGTGGTTTTGCACCCTCGTCCACACGTTATGGCGGTGGGTGGTGGTCTTCCGCTTCTGCCATGTTTTGGAGTGAGAGGCTTGAGGACCCGTGGAAAAAAATGCGTCACGTGTCGCGGATTGCTGTACGTTGATGTTCGTGAACAGGAAGGGATAAGGATGCACTCTACAAGCTTCGATGGGGAAGGATGGAGTTCGGGAACGAAGCTGCTTTTTATCTACGACCGGCGAGGAACTTGGCCCAGTCTGAATTACGGTACGGTACTGGGCCCTCTATAGTGCAGGCGTGTGTCCAGACATTTTACCTGCACTAGCGGGCACCACTAATAATCAGAATAGTGGGTCAATAGTGCAGGTTCGGCAATATTGAGGCCTCAATAGCGCAGGTCCGGCACGATTGAGGAGATGTTTGATTTCATGGTGTGGCACTCATGCTTTGCGGGGCTAACAGAGTACGACATGGATCGAATTATTATTTCAAATCGTATATTTTCTTGTTTGGCAAAGAATACTTCACAACGAAAATTTAATGGTCATCATGCCGCTTATTATCCAGAAAGAGAGCTCGGCGTGCGGTGTGGCGAAATAACGAAATAACCACTCTCTTTCCCTCCTACCACCAAAATGCGCTGTTCAGCTAGGTAGTAGAGTGGGAACACGGAAGGAGACACAGTGAGACGTTTCTTATCGGGCACGCTGCCCAGCTACCCCTTGTTTCTTATGTCTTGGGGGTATCGCACATCGCACCATCATGTTTCTTATTGAGCAGTGGCCAAAATCGGGTACACCCGGTCCAAACATGGCCATAATCGGGTACCCCCACAAGATGCTGCTGGGGACGACCGCATGGCACCATCTGATTGGCCGATACCCGCCCCTACCCGACCTTGACCGTCCTTCCACCGGGTGCACCCGATCTTGGCTACTCGCCCCCCTGAGGGGTACCCGGTTTTTCTTTCCCCTACCCGAAAATGGCTGGGCTGTTCGGCCAAACCCCATGCACACAAGTAGTGCCTTGCCCTCGATTCGGACGTTCTGACGGCCAGCGGGGGCGGACCCACCGCCGGTGGCGGAACTCTCGCGTGGGGGAAACGGCATCCAGGCAGGCGGTCGGTGCAAATGATAGACAAAAGAGCTGTGGATGAATGCCTCACTCACGAGATGCAGCACACACGACACGCATGCATCTAGCGAATAGACAGACAGAGATAGATGTTCTCTGCTTCTGCTGCTTTCTCATTGGCGACAAACGAGCGGCCAGCGGTGTGTGTCCTAACCGTGATTGATTGTGTGTATGTAGTGGGGTTTCGCCGAACAACCCAGCCATTTTCGGGCAGGAGAAAGAAAAACCGGGTACTCCTCCGGGGGGTGAGTAGCCAAGATCGGGTGCACCCGGTGGAAAGACGGTCAAGGTCGGGTAGGGGCGGGCGTCGGCCAATCAGATGATGCCATGCGGTCGTTCCCAGCAGCATCGTGTAGGAGTACTACCCGATTATGGCCATGTTTGGACCGGGTGTACCCGATTTTGGCCACTTCTCTTTTTTTTTTAACTCTGGCAAGAGAGTGCTGAACTCTTCTCGCATTAAAATTGAAGGCAAAGTACCGCAGGAGGGGAGGGTAGAGAGGGGCTCTAGGGTTTGACCACGGGTTGGAGTAAACAGCACGAATGCTGTGAGCGCTGATTTGAAGTGAAGACAAAAAAAAAAAAAAACTCCACCCCCCGGATTTGCCACGGGATTCGACCAAGAGACAGACCTCTCACCACATCACCACAGAGTTCTCCGTCCATGATGGTCGGATCGTCACCAGCACTTGAAGGCTGTACGCACCACACCTGTAGGCGTCTTGAAGCTAGTGGTAAGTGCTGTGGGGTCTGTGTGTGCTGAGAAATGTCAATCCATTTGAGCAAAAGTAAGAATCCGTATGGAGAATCCGTAGGAGATGCTATACGATAGTTTGGCCATACTATCGTATAGGATCCTCGACGCAAGCCCTTTTTGGCCGAAAACCCATATTGGTTCATCCAACTTAGGTACTCAATTTAGGTGACAAAAATAAACGTTAATACACGGCCTTGAGCCCACTGCACGCAAGTAGCTTATGTGCGACCTGTCGTGTACAACAAGTGACGACGTTACACGCATAGTTTGAGTGTATGGAGTAGGTGCTCTCTTGGTGTGCTACGTTCCTATTTGTGTGATCATGGCTTCGGGGCTCGCAAGAAAGGATCCTAGCTCGTGTACAGGGTACCCCACGGAAAAAGTGGTTCCCCACCGCGGGCCCCCTATGCTTTATATAGGATCGCTGGCCTGCCGCTGATGTGTACGACAACCTTTGTGCCGCTGCCCCCCATGTACGATGGCAGGAAGTGGAGTTGAATCTAGCCGGGCTAGAGATGTGCTCTGCCGTGCTGGGGCCAGCCTCGTCCGCCAGTCACTTGCGCGAACGTCTGAACGAACTTACCTGGGCCTTTTTGGAGGCTGGGTGAAATATCGTGTGGCCGCTGTGCATCGGCCGGTGTTTCTTGCTGCTGAGACTGTTCCGCGTGATGTCGTTGCTCAATTGGTTGAGTACGTCGCGTATGGTTTTTTAGTTTTTGGGCCTGCAACAATCGACGATTGCTAGTCACCTGTCCGCTGTCAAGTTCTTCCATCGTGTGTCGGGTGAACGGGAGCTTGATACGCAGCATCCGCTGGTGCGTTGTGCTTTACGTGGGGCGGCGCGGGGGCATGCCGACGTGGGAACACAGCAGCGGTTGCGGCGGCCGGTGTCTTGGGCGATGTTTCAACGGGGGAGTTCGTTGGTACCGCAATGGGGAGTAGGCGGGCGCGTTTTGTTTCTTGTGCTGAGTGCTTCTTTCTTCTTTCTGACGCGAGCATCCGAGATGTTTGCGGTGTCGAAATTGTCCATGTATGAGGTTCATGGGTTGCGTCGGGGGGACGTAGCGTTTTTTTTCGGGGGGCGGTCCAGCTATT